GGGGGAAAAGAGAGATGTGGTGAGAGACATGAAAAGATATAGTTGATATAGATGAAAAGGAAAAAGCCATGGTCTGAAATTGATGTTTATACGGGGATTTAGATCAGATTAAATCTCTGCAGTTAACAAGTATACTTAGGTCCTAGAGTTCTAATTTGGGTTCATGTATATCAAATATTCCAATCAAAGTCAATATGTTGATGATTACAATGGAAGCAGACCCCAAAAATGTTAGGACAAGGCTTTGTTGAGTTGTTGTTAAAGGTATGATTACAATGTATATTGTTCGATTTATCTAGTAAAGCGAAAAATTGAATTTTTTTTTTTGCTGCATTTTATGTGATGATTCACACCCGACCCGAGATTATTTAGTTACTAAATGTTTTCGATGAGATTTGGATATACATAATAATGTTACTTGACTTGTGGAAATTTGTTGTTGCCATCTGTACACTTCTAAGTAGAATGATGTGGAGGAGCGAAAGCACAAACACCTTATGGAGACTTCTTGCTCCTTGCTTTTATATTTGCACTATAAATGCACAATGTGGGTTGCATGTGAATTTTTTCTATAAAATTAATATTAAAAACATAAATTATATATAGCTGCATTATATTTAAGTAAACTAAATATCATCTTATAAAAAATACAAAAATTATTGAGATTTATTTTTGTACATTTTGGGACCGTGAGTCATTATTTATATTTGGGCTTAAATTTTAATATAAGTCTTTAAAAATCATATAATTAGGATTGCTCATATAAATCACTGGAAATATAATTGCTATGATTCTTCTCATAATGAAACCATGCTTTAAATAGGAATAGTTAGTTCAATTAGGGACAAAATGCAACCCAATACAATCCTGTATTTTTGACATGATAAATAAGATTCAAAGTCTGAACATTGTTAAAATATTACTACAAAATAATTAAAATCCATTACATAGAACTATTCATATAATTTGGATGATTGGCTATGATCGAATAATTTTGCTGAAGTTAGTTAGTCATTTTACTTAAAAATTATAAGACCATGTAAAATCTTAAAAAGATAAAAAAAAAAAAAAAGAAAGAAAGAAAGAAAAAGATAAAGGGTTGATTTTGGGGTAAAAAGCAACATATACATATATAGGTGCAGTATTGTCTTTGTATATTAAAGGAGTAACGTTGCATTTTAATGCAGTTGAGATATTTTTAACATTTTAATGGGAAAAAGGCAAAATGTTATCTATATAATAATAATATGAACATTTACATATAGGACATAATTTCTTTATAGTCTTTTATAAGGATAAATTAGTGAATCAAAAGTTTTTCATATTGAGAAACTTTTATTAGTTGTATAGATAGATATAGATTTATACCTTGTTGCCCTGCCAGTTATGCTTTGGGAAAGATATTTCTCACTCTATTCGTCATACTACTGAAATTCCCTTTATTGTTCCTTTGGTGGTTTGTCGTTTGAACATTTAAAGCTAGTTCTAGACAAATAACCAGGTACAACCTCCTTTCAACTAATTTTGGCAGCATAGAATAAATTATGATGAGATTCCTAGCAATAGGAATCAAATTTCTACCTCAAATTTCAGCAAATTTATCAATAATATTTTACAAAGCACTTCTAATTTTAGAATTATCAGCTTTCTTAACAAATTTCAACATAACACAACTAATCGTAGAATTATTAGCATCCTTAACAAATTTCAGCATCAGCTTTATTAGAAAGTAGTAAAAAGTTCTTTAATAGAGAAGCGAGAGGGAGACTAGAACAGAGCCAGAAAGAGTGTATTTCTTTGAATCAAAGTCTATTTCTTGCCGTTAGAAACTAATTGAACCAAAAAATAATTATTTTTTTAGAAAAGAGGCCGAGGATGTGAGGTACAAAGCACGTTTAGTTGCTTTCAGTAAATTAGGGGTTGGTTTCACTAAAAAAGAAGGAAAAAAGGAAAGAGAAAGAGAGATGCAAAAAGGGGGAGGATGATCTAGATGAAAAGAAAAAAGAAATAGATCAATGATTTAAAGTGATATGGTAATTAAAGGAGGGGTGGAGAGTGTGGAAGGAGGGAGGGGAGACTAAGGGTATGGTAGGTCATTCTAGTGGTCATGACATTGACCTCGGAGTGATCCAAGAAAGGCCAACAAATTCAAACAATTTTATTCCATATTGAAAGGGCCAAGGGACATTGCAAGAATAAATGATCCACTCTCTCACAGTCATCTCTACACATAACGCCCCACTACTGTAAAAGACAATACATCAGTCTCCTGTTTTAAAGCACATCGTTGCTATTAGTCTTACCGTAAACAATTATTCATGCACAAACTTACACCTTTAAAGACACTTTGATTTTTAAAATCTTCAAAGATGGACGAAATACTAGAATTGAGGAATCATCAACAACTTGTTTCTTTATTTTTTGTGGGTGATTCTCTGGTTTCCTTGAAAAAAAAAAAAAGAATTTGACCGTTGATAGTTTTGCTTATTCCACTGCCAAGGTTGACTATGTTGTGCTATGGCTGGTACATGTTAGAATTTGTTTGGTTGAAATGATTGCTTGCTGATGTAGGTTTTTTATTTAATGGTCCTACTTTTTTGTATTGTTGCAACAAAAGTGCCATTCTAATTGCATCTAATTGTGTTTTTCATTAGCAGACCAAGTATATCGTGATTGACTGTCATTTACAATGCTATTATCTTCAGTTTGGGAGTGTTTCTTGCCTTTCGTATCTTCAGCTATGCAGTTGGTTGACTTCTTCACAAAACCTCACACTATTTTGCGTTGTTGTTTTCTTCTCGGTGAACCCTCGATGCTTCATACTGTTATATCATTGGTTGGGCTTGTTAAATGTATCTATTATATTCCAGCGGGGGTAGTTTATCCCTGTTGTTGTTATAGGGTTTTATATTTTTCTCTTATGCATTTTTCATGTATGAATTATTGTTGAGCTGCTGATAGTTTTCTTTTCTTTCTTCCTCTTCTAGGTATGACTTCTCTTCTTTGCGCAGTTTGATCTAGGTTTTCAGAACTAACTCCTGCATGTTTGATCTCACCCAATGGATAGCTATCTATAAATTATGTGTTACTTCTTTAATTTGGTAGTGCTAGCTCAGCTGGTACTGTTTACATGTGTTGATTTTGCGTTGAAAGAAATAATTTTGTCTTTTCTTGTTCGTTTTTTTCATATTATCCAGGTGCTCAAAATGTGGAAATGAGTCTGAAGCTTCATCAAAAATTGAAGACTTCTATGAGCTGGAGTTGAATGTCAAGGGCTTGAAGAGCTTAGAAGAGAGTTTAGATGATTATTTAAGTGTTGAAGAGCTTCAAGGAGATAACCAATATTATTGCGAGTCATGTGCTTCTCGAGTTAATGCTACTAGGAGTATTAAGCTGCGGTCACTGCCTGCTGTTCTTAATTTCCAGCTCAAGAGATGTGTTTTCCTTCCAAATGTACATACTAACATACTTTCCTTTTCCCATATTTGTCGATATTATATTAGAATTTGAAAATAGTAAACATTTATATTATTCTTCTTGCATTTAAGTAGCTTCTATTTGTTTTCTCAAAAAAAAAAATAGTTCTTGGAGTTGTTGTATCGAAGTTTTTATTTTGTTCGATATGTGCCAAAGTGCCAACCATAAATTGCTCTGTGGAGGTTGAATAGGAAGTACTTGTGAATAAGGTGGTGATACCAGAAGAAGCCCATTCGTTGGTAAATATGGAGGAATTGAGTTTAGTTCTCTAGGTAGTAATGTATACTCTGAGCTCTGTTTAGATTGGGAGAATGCAAAAATAAAGGACCAGTGATTACAGCTAGCTGTTTATAATTCTCTGCTATGCATGGTTTACCATTNGAGGTTGAATAGGAAGTACTTGTGAATAAGGTGGTGATACCAGAAGAAGCCCATTCGTTGGTAAATATGGAGGAATTGAGTTTAGTTCTCTAGGTAGTAATGTATACTCTGAACTCTGTTTAGATTGGGAGAATGCAAAAATAAAGGTCCAGTGATTACAGCTAGCTGTTTATAATTCTCTGCTATGCATGGTTTACCATTCAGTACCTATTTTCAAACAATAATTATCCCCATTGTCACCATGGGATGTTAAAAGAAATATTCTCACGACAAGTTCTTCCTAGGTGAAATATTTTTTTTTCCAATATAAATTTTCGTATCTTGATCCGCTGAGTTGGTTTCATGATGTAGTGCAATATCTGTCGGTCTTCTGATCTGTGTAATGGAACTCTCTGTCTAGTATGCCAGTTTGCTAGTGGTAAATGCTGTGTTATATCGTTGTTGCTGGCACAACATCATTGTTGTGCATCTCTTCTCATTTTTATAAGACATACAGAATTTAGCAACTGTTGTCTTCTACTAGTCCTACAATCTGATGAGTGGTAAAATTCAACTTTGATGGTAATTTGTTCTGTTGTTTATATAGATGCTGTAGTACCTGCTTGTTGTTGATGGGATTCTTTTTGACCTATATCTGGAACTGTATGCCTCTTGTTGCAGGGTGGTTGTCACATATTGGTTAGTTGCGTTACATTATCACTTGATGCTTGACTTCCATTTGCACTGTTTTTTGCTGCTGTTGTCAAAGAATATCTCTGAATAGTTTTCTACCACCAAAGCTCGCTTTCCCTATGAATTTCATTCCTAGTTTTATATGCATGGCAATGGTAGTGATTATGAAAGTAGTAATGGAACTGGCTAGTTTAATGCTGATTGTATTATTCACGGAGTGAAACATAAGTGACCATTTGTTCCATGAGCTAGAGATTGTAGGAATTTTGATGATTATGCTACAGGACATTGCAGTGATCTCTTTAATGAGATCTGAATTTAGCAATATAACGCTTCTGAAGTTATTTCCTCTATCCTCTATTTATTCTTGTGTACGAAGTGTTTTGCATTTGGACAGTTTAAGGAGTAGGTTTCTCTGAACTCCTTTAGTATGTTTTTTTTTTGGGATCTTGTTTCTTTGTGCATTTTATTTACTGTAGTGCTTCTCTTATTTANATTTATTCTTGTGTACGAAGTGTTTTGCATTTGGACAGTTTAAGGAGTAGGTTTCTGTGAACTCCTTTAGTATGTTTTTTTTTTGGGATCTTGTTTCTTTGTGCATTTTACTTACTGTAGTGCTTCTCTTATTAACATCTTAGACTACAACGAAGAAGAAAATCACTTCGGCATTTTGTTTTCCTGGTGAACTTGATATTCGACACTGGCTTTCTGAACATTCTCAATCAGACTTAATATATGACTTGTCAGCCGTATTGATTCACAAGGGGTCTGCTGTAAATAGTGGCCACTACATAGCCCATATTAAGGATGAGAATACGGAGCTTTGGTGGGAATTTGATGATGAACACGTCTCAAACTTAGGGCGACACCCATTTGGTGGAGGTTCTTCTCTTCCTGCCGATAAACTTGTTCAAATGGAGCCCATTGTCCATCCATCTGGCTGTGATCCAATGGATGTTGTGAATGGAAATGACGTAGATGTTTGCCAGCAGCAATCTTCAGATTCTAATGTTGTTGGTCATGTACAGACATTCTCATCAAGTGATGCATATATGCTGATGTATATTCGTAGGCTTCCAAAGAATGACAGTGGAAAAGCACAAATGGGGTCTGATGGAAATAAAAGGTTACGAGATGGTGATGCGGTTAATCCACCGACTGATGTTTTTCTTCCATCTCATCTTTCTGAAGATTTAAGAAAATTGAATGCATCATACCTTGAGTCTTGCAAACAATACCAATCAAAGAAGGAGCTAGAATGTAATCACATTTTAGCGCGGCGACAGGAGGTACGATCTATTCTTTTTGAAGCCCCGGTTCAAGTGCCCGGGGAACCATATTTTTGGATTGCCACAGACTGGTTTCGTCAATGGGCTGACAACATCACTCCAGTGTAAGCATGGGTTATTATTTTTATTCGTCTCTTTAAAGTCTCCAGAGTTTCTACTTGGGAAAAAGGTTAATGTTTACCTGTGTAATTAATTATGGAAGATAATGTTTGTTCTGCTCAATGGACTCTGTTTCCATTTTACCAATTTGATAACTGCCATCTAAGCATCTATTTATGTCTTGTCCATGTTGCATCTTTGATCATGTACTGTCACTTAGTTTTCCCAAAAAAGTAATCGTGGGGAATATTCCAGGATACTATGAACTAAGGTTTTAAAGGTGGGTCCCTTTTGAAGAGAGAGAGGGAGAAAAATAAAAGAAGCTTATGCTTTTCCAAGCTTACTTGTAATCTCCTGCAGTGCTATTGACAACACCCCTATCCAGTGCTTGCATGGAAAGGTCCCAGTTTCAAAAGTTGGCTCCATGAAGCGGTTGTCAGCCAAAGCTTGGACCATGTTATCCTCCAAGGTATCTTTCTGTGTGGTTGAGTCACTGCTGTTGCATCACCTTAAAGTAGGTCTTTAGAAACCTTTACTATCTTGTTGAGTTGGCTATTATCTAATCTGCATTTCTTTATGAATATCTGCACTATGACGCTATTTTGATGGATTTATTGTCTAATAATACTACTCTTGAAAGTGCGTATTTTATTGTCCACCCCTTTCTAGACTTGAGACCATTCCCTATGGTTTATAGATACCACAAGCTCTTTGTCTGCAATCTGATACAAGTCTAATAGTCCTACTATGTTGGGTCTGATCTCCATTGAACTTATATGAATATGTCTCTGTCCGTATACTGTTTATATGAATATGTTTCTGTCTGTGGACTCTGTAGATTAAGAACAAATCTAAGGTACTCATGCGGNTCCTACTATGTTGGGTCTGATCTCCATTGAACTTATATGAATATGTCTCTGTCCGTGTACTGTTTATATGAATATGTTTCTGTCTGTGGACTCTGTAGATTAAGAACAAATCTAAGGTACTCATGCGGAAATTTTTATAAGAGTCAGTCACCCATATTAGTTTTCTGATACATCTTAGGTGTTTGTGCAAGACTGCTGAACCTAATCTTCAACAGGTGTGAATTATCAAAACAAAATTGCAGTTTCAAGCTTTTTCGGCTTGTGTCATATGATTGCTTACAATTTTAAGCTTGTAGTATCAGATTACTTGAGTAGCACATCTTCATCTGGTTCTGGCTTTTCCTATTTATTTATTTTAATGTGTTCCTGATTGTTGGAGGTGTCTTAACTGTTGATTTTCCCAATTCTCTCTAATCTTCTTTTTATCTAATGACTGTGAATCTAGAATGAGGGGGGGCCCACATTGTCCAAAGATGACTACTGCGTTGATTGCCTTTTTGAGAAGGCATGCAGTATGGTGCGTGCTGATGGGTATAGGGATCAAAGAACATTGATGAAAGAACTTGCGGAGGCAGCACTTGCGGGCAAGTGTCTGGATGGAAAGCTGTACTATGTGTCTAAGGCATGGTATGATATTTATTGCATCTGTACTCAAATTCTATTTAATATGTTGATGATGCTTATATTGGTGCTTTCTTATCAATACTTGCCAGAAAGGATTTTTGGACTCTTTAGATTTGTTGACCTCATAGGACTGTTTATGTTGTTGGTCACTATTAAGAGAAGACAACAATGTTAGTTCCCTGATCTCGTCTCTGTGTTCCTGCTCATGTTCAGCTGAATACTCTCAACCCCACCCCCCAGGGGGCGGCAGGTGATACTTTCTATTTCTACAGGTTATGTGGGGACACTGACATTTCCAATTTGTAGGTTGCAGCAGTGGCTCCGCCGGAAAAATGTGGACTCTCCCTGTGAAGCTGATGCAGGACCAACAGCTTCAATCAGGTGCCCCCATGGGCAACTTATGCCTGAGCAAGCTGCTGGTGCTAGGCGTTTGCTGGTTCCTGAGCATCTCTGGCTTTTCTTTTTCGAAAGTGCTAATGCCGTAAATACTAATGTTACTATGGATTGTGCAACTTTTCCTTCAGACTCTGAGCCATGTGTTCAATGCAGTATGGAACTTACCGAAGTGGCTTCCTTGGAGGATAATCTTAGGTGATTCAAACAATATTTGCTATTATAGAGTTGATATGGTTTTGTAGTTGCTTGACTCATCATTTGTGCTACAGAGACTTCAAGTTGAAACAACGGCAGATGCATGAGAAATTAGCTTTTGGAAGAAGTATACAACTTTATGCCCATAGCAGATACTATTTGTTGCCCTCTTCATGGCTGTCAAAATGGAGAAGCTATGTCACTGCTGGTGGCAAGAGTGCTGCTGCTTTTGAAGAACCAGAAACTTTGAATAGTGTCATTGATTTACTGAAATGTGAAAAGGTGCTTATTGACTTTGTGTGGCAGTGATTTTTGTTATGATTATTATACTGTGGGCAAGCATAAACATTTTGTTTCATCTGAAACTATTGTCGGTAATGGAAAATCACAATACCCATGTTTCGGAATGTTTCAAATATTTCAAAATTTCAATATTTTGAATTGTTTCAAAATCAAAATTTCAAAATTTTCTCTTCAATTACTGGAAAGTTTCCGGAACATTTCTTAAATGTTTCCATTTCCAAGCTGACTGGAACTATTTACTGAACCCAAAATTGGTATCCTTGATAGTGGGACACACTCCATGTGCTGATTATATGATATGCATTTGGTTCACTCTTTACTTCAGCTATGCTCATTTTTCTTTGGTTCTGTGGATAGCAGACTTTTGGGGACATTGAGGGGGCTTTACCTGTATCATTACCATGAGAAATTCGTCTTTTTGCCTTGTAGTTTGTTTAGTCTATTATAATGTTGTTTTATCTATTTGGAGCAAGAATAAATCACAACTAAATTGAAAAATATAGAAAGAAAAGAGATGCAATAAGCTGCGAAACATGCCAACTCAATGTATGTGAGGATCATAATCATCAATTAATGTGGTCAGGAGTTAGAACTTAAGTATGGTGAATGCATGGAGGGTATTTATATTTATTCTTTTCGTTTATTTTTTCTATTCTTTTGAACCAGCACTCAAGACTTCTTGAAAGGCCTCCTGAGCTCATTTGGAAACGTGGTTTGATTCTCCAACAGGTGCCCACTGTAAGTGTGACACATTTCTGAATGGTTATATCTCATTTGAAGCACAGTTTTTTATATTATAGAAAACCAAAAGATATATCTTAAATAAGGAGGAGGAAATACATCAGAGGACAATTGACTGTTTGTGTCCTCCGAAAGTACAAATCGGAAAAAAAGAAACTTTCAATATTTCGTGATACTCCTACACCTTTCCGCCCACTTATCCTTTATCAAAAATAAAGGAATCCCTTCATAGTCTATGGATATTATGTGCAAAGAGATGCCAAAAATTGAATTTTTTCCCATATCTCTTCCAACAAATGTTCTCTATCAACAAAGATCCTCCCATGTCTTTACACTCATACCACACAAAAAATTGGTTAAATCACACATATCCATAAGGTCTTAGCTCTCATATTTCTACTAAAAACCCACTAGTTAATTGTAAAAACCGACTCACAACATCGTGGAACCACCCACGGACCCTTTCTCTCTCTATCTACAAGATCTGTTTCCCAAACTTGATTCATTCGGACAATGTAAGAATAAATGATCCATAGACTCTTTCAACACTTTTACAAAGGCTACACCCTAGAATATGGAGGGAGAAAATTGGCCTCGTTTTGGATCATATCATTAGTGTTTAGATCTTACATGCAATGAGGCAAACAAATCCTTGAACCTTTAATCGTGCCTTGTACTAAAGCATCAAAGTCATAACCAATTGGCAGCGAGTGGAGAGACTACTAATACTACTCTTTTTTTGCTGGATATAACACTTGCCCTTACTTTTCCTATTCCATTGCGTATTTTCAAAAAAATACTTTTCATGAATTGAATAAATGTATAAATAAAATGAGATTTAAATGTGTTGTTCTGGGAAGGAGAATCCGATGTGGATCTTTCCACATGATTATACACGTGGAGACCAAGACACTTAACCTAGAGGGGGATGAATAGGTTTATCAATTTTAGCCCAAATTACAATCCAATCAAGGTACCTCTTCTCATTTGAATATGAAAATTAACGATGAGAATCCCTTTAATCACCAACAACCCTTAACACCCATGAGGATTGATTAAATTAATATGCAATTAATTTGCTCAAATCAATCAAATGGCGATCCCAAATCCCANTATGAAAATTAACGATGAGAATCCCTTTAATCACCAACAACCCTTAACACCCATGACGATTGATTAAATTAATATGCAATTAATTTGCTCAAATCAATCAAATGGCGATCCCAAATCCCACCAACCCAATTTGTACAACTATGGATGATATGATATGGAGCAATCAAAACATCAAACACATAGTGCTTATGTGTGCTCACAATTGCAAGTGTGTACAATAAACAATAAGAGACAAGCAATTTGGTGACACGGAAAACCCTCATCGAGAAAAACCATGGAGAATCACTCGGGCTTCACAAAAGTCTAATCCACTATGCGTTAAGTCATCATAAAAGTGCTTGAATCTTATACCTCGACCAATGCCCATGGCTAGATATTCCTTTTCTTGCTACGTCTCTTCGTCGAAACTCCCTCTTCGACGTCCGGTGTAACTTCAATTGGACCTCCTCGCCGCATGGTTCGTCTAAACTTTCGAGCGATTATGGGCACACTAACAATTTTCGGTATGCACACACCAATGAGTTTGTTTACCAACAAGCTCTTCTACTCAAAGTTGTGTGGATGAAAAGAATCACTAGTGGTAGCCTTAGAATTCTTAGGGATTTAGGTTGTGGTGGAAGCTCTCAAGGTGGAAAGATAAATTTCTTCTCTAAAAATTTCTCGAAAGGCTCTCTGCAGGCTTGCCTATATATGAGGAAGACACTCTCTATTTATAGGTCTGGTATAAGGGTAGTTTTAATAAATAAGAAAACTTAGATTTGTGAACGACCGTTCGATTGGTGAGAGGGTGGTATAGGGTGGNTAAACACTATCCAAGCACGCTAGGATGAAAAGAGACTTTGACTAATAAATCATGCAATCAGATTTATGACACTAAGTTCTCTATCTCCTACTATGACTCAAAGCAATGCATATTTCAACTTTGACTTAAGGATGGAGCAATTTCAATGCAAATCAAAGTGCGAATTACCATAATCATAANGGTTGTCGCCGGAGTGAAAATTGATTTCAAACACGACTTAGGTAAGCATTGCTCGAGCGAGCTCATAGAGCGAGCACTGTGTTGCCTTCTGNGGTTGTCGCCGGAGTGAAAATTGATTTCAAACACGACTTAGGTAAGCATTGCTCGAATGAGCTCATAGAGCGAGCACTGTGTTGCCTTCTGTGGCCTTTTCCTTTCTTCTCCCAAGTCATCAAGAGACCGCTCTAATGAAGGTTAGTGAGCATAAGGCCGTCTTTACAGATTTTTTAAGCCTAAAATCATGCAAAAACTTAGTCCTCTGAAGCACTAAAGAGTGTTGCTCAAAGAGGGGTCTGATTGTGACTCAAATTATATTTTCAAAATACAAACTTGGTTTAGAAAAACTTTTCTTTGAAAATCCCTAAGAGTCATAATTGGACCGCTTTCAATTCCATTTTTATCCTAATCATCGTAAGTTAAAAATAACTAAAGGATCATATTAGTTGTTTAGGTCATTGCATTTGTTCTAAGCATGTATGTGTATATAGAGGTTGAATGATATAGCTTTGATGCTTGATCTCCTCCCTTCAATATTACTTTTAGATCTTGAACTTGATAGGATCATGACCATGGAAGTGGTTGAGATTTTATAATGGACTCCACAAAATTATCTAATTACAAAACATGATCTAACAATTTCTCCTTTTGGGAATTTCTTGAAAAAACCCACAAGTTTGAAATAAAGATTACAATCCCAAACTATTGAACAAAAGAATTGTAAATCTAATCTCAAACACTTCTGCATACGTCTTAAAACTCTATCTATTATAAGGATCTATATCTTTCGATGAAGCTTGAAGATCATAGTCCTACACATCACCACTCAAATCAGAACCTCATGAAATACATCATATGTTAGAGAAATAAATTACATAATTAGAGGTATGGAAAGTACCAAGAGAAGCGTAAGACATAAGTATGTATATATCATGCAAGTGCAAATATGTAACATGTTTGAACTAAATTGTGTCTAAAATGCTTGAGAACCAATTGATTTATCATTGCAAAATATATTTAGTTCTCCCCTTTAGTTGGTGTTCATAAATAAAATAACAAGTGAAAAATAAACAAATAAAAATGTGTGGCTTCGTGCCAAGTTTGTAAATTTACTCCTTTCGAGTATTTGAACCACAAACTTTCCCTTTCTATGTTCACATTCAACATATCTATTCTAGTCAAGAGCAAATCTCCCCAATTACTTTCTTATGTATTTAAAATATTCTCTCCCTTTTTGTCACAAATGTAAACCCAATGACCACATGCAATGCAATAACCACAGTGCATAATCAAGTCACCTAACATATTCTTATCTTATTTTTCATATATGACAATTTAATGACAACCCATAGCAATCATGACATTGAATCATAATATAACAAGAAGGTTAGGAATGGAAAGTAACTAGCTAAATCATGCACCTAGACTAAGCAAAGGACAAATAAGGCATATAACTCAAAGTCATATATGATTAAGCATCAAAGAAAAATCAACAAAAGTACTTTAAAAGCTAAAAGTCAACAAATAAAAATAAACAAAGTACTTTAGTACATGCCATGAATGAATAAAACTCTCATGCTCACATATGACTTAATACTAAGTCTCTAAAGCCATAACTCAAATGGCTAACTAGGGATGACTTGGACTCCTTGGATATCCTGAACTTTAGATAGACCACTTGAGTGAGGTGGTTGACCGCTCGAGCTAGACCTGAAACAAGTCAACTTTGCTGTTTATCAGTTCAGTCCTCAGCAGAAACATATCTCCCCCGTTTTCTACAGTCTAGTCACCTTAATAACCTTAGTCTCAAATGCATGCATGACAAAATGAAGGCTTAAAAGCAATTCTCTACAAGATATGGATGAGTTTGGATGGAAAATAAGTACAATTTCCAATTTCAATCATTAAATGCTTAAAACAAATAATCTTGAAAATTGCACAAATTTTCATTTTAAAAGATCCATCCAAAATTCATCATTTCAATACATTACCCTAAGGTATATTCAAAGATATTGAACTCAATTGCAAACATTCTAGAGTAATGTTTCCTTAGTTAGGTTCAATTTTATTCACACGTATTCAAATTTTGTTCAACTTTAACTAATTCAAGTGCAACATGTGTGAAACCAACCTTCAACATGAAAAGGATTCTGATTAATTTAAACGCATTAATAAGCTCATCATCAAATCTTAAATGCATTGTCTAAGTGAATACTTNGCCTTTAACCTTTCCACATAAAGGACATTATCCTACTTTGGCATGTCCAATGGTTGAATGGAACCTTTTCCAACAACTTTGGAGATACTCCCATTCCCAAATGTGACAGTCCCACCGCTACACTTCAACACGCAGAAGTGTTGAGACTTATCTCTAGTCATGTGCCTAAAACAACCACTATCGAAGTAACATTTATTACCCAATTGGGCTTTCGAGACAGTGTGAACTACAAAGCACAATTCATGACTAATTGATGGAGCCATTTTCAAATAAATATGTTGGCAAAGCACAAAAATGCCTACAAGTGTCTTTGATCTCGGGGCAACCATGCTTTGATGCCAATTGTTGTTACGGGAGGGTGAACCTGATATAAGATTTTTCCTCCCCATTATGCACGTGGAGACCAAGAAACTTAACCTAGAGGTGGTGAATATGTTTATCAATTTTAGCCCAAATTAAAATCCAACTAAAATCTATATCTACCTCAATTACCTCTTCTCAATCAAATATGAAAATTAATGATGACGATTGATTAAATTAATATGTAATTAATTTGCTCAAATCAATCTCATGACGATCCCAAATTCCNCTTTTATGGCAACCCTTTGCTGCGAATCAAGACTCGAGTCATTTCTTGTATCACTTTATTCTTTCTCTCTATGGTGCCAT